TGAGGAATGGTTGAGAAAGATGTGGTATTTTTACACAATGGAGTATTATTCAGCTATTAGGAATGATAAACTGCAAGTCTTGGTGTGTTTTTAATTGGGCTGAGGTTAGTTTGCATTCTGTGTGCTTCGGTTACCTGAATGGCAGATTGTTTCCTCATATTTGGGAAGTTTTCTGCTATTACTTCTGCCCACATTTTTAAAATGTCTTTTGTATTGACTCCCTCTTTCTCATTGATGCCTATTAAACTCACATTGTTCATCTGTGCATCATCTTGCAAGTAATGAATTATTTTTTTCTGCATCCTAGTTGTTTTTAAGAGATTTTTTTCTTACCTTTTTACTAGCTGCACTAGCATCTTCAGTATCTGTAACTCTGTCTTCACTTTCACTCAAACGGTTTTGCAAGCTTGTGATTGAGATTTTAAGTTCCTCTAAATCTCTTTGACTCTGCTTCATGCATTCTATTTCTTTCCTGTATTTCTCATGTAAGTAATATGTCATTTTCCTAATCTCTTCTATTTTTTTTATCAATGTCTTCTTTAGAAGCAGTTATTAATTCTTTTACTTCAGTGTTTTCGTCAGATTGGGTTTTCTCCCTACGTTTTTATAGTTAATTTTTTACTTCAGATGCTATGTGTGCAGAGAATTCTTTATTTCACAAAAGAATTCTGCTCTGAGTTCTTGTTTAACTTTCTGCTGTTGCTTATTTAGTATTGACACTATTAATTCATACATTTGAGCTGAGCAAGTAGAAAAGAATTTCACTCTGAGCTCCTCTATAACTTTCTGCTGTTGCTTCTTTACTATCGATGCTATTAATTCGTACATTTCAGCTGAGCTAGTGTCCTCTGCACTTGTTGTGTGTGGGCATTGGGTTTTCTCCATATATTTCTGCATTTGATTCTTTACTGCAGATGTTATTAATTCTGGGATTTCTTTTTTTCATTTCCAATCTGAGTTCCTCTATACTTTCTGCCGTGGTTTCTTTATTTCAGAAGCTCTTGATTCATTGATTTCAGCTGTGTGGTTCCCAGTTTGTTCTGTGTTAGTGTCCTCTGCACTTGTCATGGGTGGTCTTGGGGTCTGAGATTGCATATTGCTCCTTCTTATTGTCATTTTGTGTAGCACTGTCTTCTGACATTTGTTGATCTTTGGTGCTGCTAGCACCTACTGAAATTCAGGTGCAAATCTACAACATATGGATTTATTCTGCTGTGCCTGGCTTGGATCTGGCTGCTGTTATCAGCTCCTTCTTACTGCCACCCTTGGGATTAGATCCTGTTGTGACCCTCTTGCAAGATGTTCTGCTCCTGGACTAGCTATGTCTTGGTCCCCTACTCTCTCTGCAGGGATTGCAGCTGCAGGGTTTCACCCAGGCCTGTACGCCAGGCCTGAGCTGAGTCTGGAGTGGACAAGGTGGAGTAGGGGGGAGAGGAAGCTCTCCCACACTATCACTGGGACTTGTCTAGAGCTGGATTTTGGGGTCCCCAGAACGCGGCAGAAATTCTCACTCGGCAGGTGGGGTGGGGATTGCTGTGGAGTGGTGGGGGTGGTCCCAAGGGGGTAGGAGAGGGTCTCACCCACCCTAGGCCTGGGCTTGGACAGGTAGGTCTACCAGTGCAGGGCAGCCGGAAGCTCTCCCACACACTCACCAGGCCTGGGCTAGGACTGGCTCTGCAAATGGAAATTCTTGCTTGCACTTAGGCAGAATGCATTTGGTCTTTTTTTCCATTAAGTATATTGGCAGTTGTACACTTGAGGATGCCCATTGTTAGACTGAATAAATTCTATCTATTTCTAATTTGGTTAACATTTTATCATGAATGGATGTCTGAATGTGTCAAATGATTTTTCTGCATCTACTGAGATGATGCAGCTACTATACTTTATTCTACCAAAATATTATATCACGTTAATTGACTTTTGAATGCTAAATGAACCTTAAATACCTATGATACATCCCTTTTGCTTATAGTGTGTGATCTCATTTTGGTTACTAGATTTGGGTTGCTAATACTTTACTAAGGATTTTTGCATTTATATTCATGATGAGAATTGCTCCATGTTTTGTTGGGGTATCTCCTCTAGCTTTGGCATCAATGTAATTTTGACTTCATAAAATGTGTTAGTAAATATTTTCTTCTTAAGTTTCTGAACAAGTTTATGAATTATTATTATTTCTTCTTGAAATATTTGATGAAATTATTGAAGCTAAATGTACTTTGCTTTTTCCAGGGCAGTATTAATCTAAGTCTAAAGCTGCCTGTATATATTATAGGCTAGGCCTAAAGATTTCCCCCTACGTAGCAAACTACAACCTAATTTGATGTATGGACTGATTATAACCCAGTCTTGTGACAAACAGCTGAGTCTCAGCTAGTCATAAGTTGATGATTTTTCAAATCTTATTTAAATAACACAGACTTAATAGTAACCAGTCAGGCTATCTCTGTACTTCAATTCCACCTTCTTGTCACTACCATTTTCATGCCTATAAATATAACCTCCCTTGCCTGGTGTGTTTCTGCACCCTTGTGTTTCCAGCTGCTCAAAAGGCTGAGGCAGGAGGATTGTAAGCTTGGGGCCAGTCTGGGTCTTAGTGAGACTGTATCTACCCTCTTCTTTTGTGGTGGATTTTAAGGTGCTTTCCTAGCTTTTTGTACTGCATTATTAGTTTAAGAACTCCAACTTTCTTGGCTTGTTAAACTATTATTGTCAATGAAATTTGTGTTATATCATTTTTCCAAAGAGTTCAAATTTTATAACAGAAACCGAAATCAGAATGTCGAAACTGTAGACTATGAAGGAACATTACCAATAATCTAATTTGACCTTGTTTTATTTTTTATTTTTATTTAAGTTTTGTATTTAGTACAGGATGTTCAAGGTCTCACCTCTAGATTGGACTCATAGTGATCCTTCTGTTTTCATCCTCCCAGGTACTGGTATTACAAGTGTGTGCCACCATGCCCAGTCTCAATTGTTTTCTCAGTGAACCCTGGGTGTGGGGCCAGCATAGCATGCCAGGGATCTAACCTCCACCCCTGTGTCTGCCTAAGCAGGCACTTAAGTCCACTGAACTATCTGGCCAGCCCTCCAATCTTGTTTTATAAACAAGTACAACAAAACCTTAAGTTTTCAAATAACTTAGTATTGAGAAGGCAACTTGTTCAGGACAACTTGAGATACAAAACTGTTCAGGTAAAATATATAGTCGGAAGCCAGACAATATTTGGTTTGGAAAATGTTGTGATCCCTCATTTCCCAGGTCTATATTAACTGATGTGCTTTTAACCAAGAATTGAAATCTGAAAAATGTGTCTTTGAAATTATCTCTCATTGCCCTAATAACCTGTTACCTTTTTCTAAATAATTCTTTTAGTTTCTTTTATATGTTGACTCTGAAGACTAACATGAGATAATATTGCCTATCCCATTCACTCTCAAATCATCATCATCTGCAAATGAAACTGGTTGGAGCAAGATCACGTCTTTCCTTCCTAGGGATCATTAGGCTCTTTGATGCACCCAGCTTACCAAGTCTTTGTCTAAAGCTCCAGGAACAGACCTGCTTCTTATGCTCACAGTTTCCTCTAGGTTTTCTGTAAATGACTCACTCAAATGTAACTCCGATTGACTGCGGTCTGGAGGGAGGAAAAAGTAAATAAAAAAATATGTGAGCCAGTTTATTTTGTTGGATGTGTTCGTTTTTCATTGTGGATGTTTCGCTTTTATTCTAATTCGTGTAGGCACAGAGCACAGACAGTGTTATGGAAAGCAAAATTTGGGGTCAGTAATTTCAGGCTATCTGTGTTAACACACTTTTATAGTATTTTGGAAATTGTCTTGGACTGAACATTAACACTCCCATGTTCATTTCTACTTTGACCACATGAAGTCAAGTGCTCTATGATACAATATGAAGCTTTAAACTGTTTATGGCACCTACTTTATTCCCAGACTTGGATAAAAAGCTCTCATAGATTGGTTCCTTAAGATTGGAAAAAGGGCCTGGGGAGATGGCTCAGTAGAATAAGTGCTTCCCTGGCAAGCACAAAGACCTGAGTTCAATCCCCGGTTTCACCCCCCTGCCCCCCAAAAAAGATTGGAAAAAACCACTAACCATTATTGATTTCTGTATGCAAAGAATTTGTTGTGCTTTCATTTTTGATCTGAACTACAAATAAGCCAATTTTACACTTCCATTTTTAAATGATCCGCCAAGTCCCTTTCACACAAAAAGGTACTGACTATGGATAAACAGAAAGTTCTGTTTATTCAAAGACCAGAACATTCTTTCATCAACAGAACATCTTGCTTTGAGTTTTCAAAATATAAAATAAGGAATAATTTACGTCTCAGTAATGCTGTACACAGCTTTCCAAATCGGGTCAGTTTATTGTCACAGAACAAATCTCTAGCCAAGCCTTTTTGAAATATTGTTTCTTATAAATGGAAAAGACTGGCAACCAGTCCAATGTTTAAGTTTCAAATGGTAGACGAAGTAATACAGAAATGCTTAGCGTAGTATCTGACAGAGTAAGCACTCAATGAATAGGAGCTTCTGAGTTGAATAGTGGAAGTGGATTTTATGGTGTTGGTTGATAGGCTGCTTCAAAATTTTTCTTTGAATAGGTAAACTTCTTTATTTCAGCTCAGAACTTCAAGAGAGGAAATAATAACTAAAACAAACAATTGGGCCAGGGAGATGGCTCAGTAGAATAAGCGCTTGCCTGGCAAGCACAAGGGCCTGAGTTCAATCC